GGCGAGTTTTGCTTTCCCAGAACAGGGCCGCCTGTAGAGTCTTCTTCTCCTTCTGTAAATGTGTTTCTTGCGTGGGCTTTATTAGTCAGGGGTGTGTTTTCTGTATTCCCTCTTGTATAAAAAGGCAGTACAGTGACTTGACTCCTGAACCCGTTTGCTGAAAATCTGGGGGTTCCCCAACATCACAAGTAAATAAGGAAAAAAAAAAAAAAAAAAAGGCAATTGATCCCTGAAGATGGTAAGAGAGGACACAGGGCTTTTATAGGTCACTTGGCAAAAGTTTTGACTGATGCCCTTTGCTATAGATACAGATGTGGCATTCAGGTAGATATAAACACAAAGGAACAAACGCAAGTGTCTACATAACGTGTATACACTAGAATTAAAGAATTAGAGAATTCCAAAACAGCTTGAGTCACAATAATGTTTAGGGAAAAATAACAAATGGCTTTTTCTTTTCCTCTTTTCCTCTTTTTTTTTTTTTTTTTAAGGCTTAGCACTATTAACTTGAGTTCGCCTTGCTTAACTAACACCCAGGTTGCCTTCTGTCAGACTTGCTTCTGAGACACTCAGAGGTTTCATTAGAAACAATTTCCTGAAGTTCTGTGAAACCAGCCTGCTGCTTTCTGAGACAGAAAAATATGCAACTCATCTGGCTGCTACAAAAACAACTTTTCTCCTACACAGGTTACGACAGATACTACAATAAATATATCAATGTCAGGAAAGGGGGCCTCGGTGGTATCTCCATGGTGCTTGCTGGTTATGTCGTCATCAGCTACATCTGGAGCTACAGTCACCTGAGTAAGTAAAAGCAGTGTGGCTGAGTGTGTATGGTGCAGCTCAGAAGGTTGCTTGGAGCAATAAAAACAATCTGCCACTGCTCCTAGAAATAAAAGGAAAGACATGCTGCTTGAATCCAAGACTGTGGGCAAGCAAACTTCTTTTAGCCATAGAGAACATGAATGCTTTTAGGAAGTTATCAGATGGCAAATACTTTCTTCGTGATGAAGAAAGCTTAGATCCTGCTGCCTGTCTGACCGGGCAGTACTTAGAAACTCCATACTCAGATTTTTTTTGAGAGTGCTTTCTTTCCTGTAATGTCAGGTGTGGTGTCTCTTACCTTGTGACTTCAGTAAAATTAACTTGCTTTACTTTGAATGATACAGAGCATGAACGCCACAGGAAGTACCACTGAAGCATGAATTTCAGAAGGTGAAAGTACAGCTCTTGAACAGACTTGGCTGCTGGAACAGTTACCCTGACAGAAGACAGCAGAACTATTCATATTAAAATCTGTACTATTACGACCAATAATAAAGTGCATACACTTTAAACTTACTGAGCTGACACTCTCGTAACTGACTTAAATTGTACTGTGCAAGTGAGTTTATCTTCTTAAGAGTTTCACCCCTCAAGGTTAAGTTCAGAGATGGGTGGGAAAACCTTTGCTGCTTGGGCTGTGCTATGAACTCAGGAAACTAATACAGTTGATTCCTGTTTAACTGTTTCACAGAGGTAAAAAGCATTGGATTGCTTCTTAATGGCCAGTATGTACAGGCTGGACAACTAGCTGAAAGGATATAAAATTTTGATTTTAAAGAACAGTGTCTGAGCTTTGAGAGGCTTGTTGGTGTGTTTGATCCTCAGGCTGTCACCTGGGGGCTGTAGGTGTTTGGGCAGTTTGATCATTGCAGAGCGCTGCCTCAGAGGAAAGGGGTTTAGCTTTGAGATCTGCAACTCATTCTATCATGGGGATTTTAATACTTCTTACCTCTGACAACCTATTTCTATGAAAACTCTACCTACTTTCATTACTAAAAGTAGCAGGAAGGTTTTTCTGAACGGGTATAAGCTTAAAACACTTTTAATTTAACAAAGGTCCATGAAGTTAAACTGAAGGAAAACGTAAATGCAGTGGTGAGATGTTTAACAGGAGACACTGTGATAAACGCAGCAGCAAGGAGTACCCATGGGTGCCCAGCTGATGACCTTCCTCGCACCCCTAAGCGCGTACATCCCGCTGTCACGACACTACCTGCTGGCACTTGAAACCGTGCTGCCCTTCTCTGAATAGTGTGGACAATGAAACCCCCTTCATAGGGGGTGTGAAGAATCACTCGGGAGCTTTCAGTTTCAGAAAAACGTGCGTTCAGGGGGTGAAGACCATGAACTGAACTAGAGGGGGAAGGCAGCCAGATGCCGAAGGCTGTGGCTCCCTTTCCACGTGCCTGGCTCCACACAGGCAGCACGTCTTTGGCCGCTGTTCAGCCCCTGGGGGCACAGCACATGACAAGGTCTCTGATGGTCTGTCAGACCATCGTCACTTAGATTTGAAACTTTTATTTTGACTGACTCCAACTCTCCGTAGTGAAATAACTGCAGTTATTCAAACCAACACAGCCTCTGGTCACTTCTCAATCTTGTCATGTTACCTTGGTCTTAAACAAAAATAAATTCACAGCCAGCTTTTTCCATCAGTACATTTCAATAAAAACAAAGTATAAAGGCAGTCAGCAAATGAGAGATGGGTTATAATCAATAAGGCTCACATTGTAGGTGCAATTTTTTTTTTTTTAATTCACATTTTATCATTGGCCCTTTTGAAATAGTTTTCTCACAAAATGAATGGGTTTTGGCTTGCAAAAATTGTTCTCAGAAGAATGCTCTACCACTTTTAAAAGCAGTGTTCCACAAGAATACACATCTCCACTTCCTGGTCTTCCCTAGGCTATGGAAATACCTGCTCAGTCTGAGCTGGACGATGGGGGCTGAGACAAGGCTCTTCTATTCTTCACGCCATGTTCATTTCCTTCCCTGCTTTTTGCAAATGGAAAATGAGCACAGATGCGGCTTTCCTACAATCACTCTTCCTCGTTGTTTGGCTAACCATAGAAATGCCAATTTACTCTCCCCTTGATCGGTTCTCACCCAGAAGATTAATTTCGAACCTTCAGTATAGCAAGAAGCACAGAAACAAAGCAAATGGACGAGAGTTTTACAGCCTGATGTACGTGGTGCGTTAAGTCAGCCAGCCACCAGGACAAGCTTACCGCCTACGACAGGCTAGATCTGGGAACAGGACTTTGCTTTTTAAGAGTTACAGGACAGCAGAACCTCTGCTTCCTCACTGAAGGAAATGCATTTCAAGTATTAGTTTCCCTGCTTCCACAGGGAGGGCTGAAATGCTGCAGGTTCTCCAAAGAGAAGTGGCAGAAGGGAAACACTTTAAAGAAACACTGGCGTAAGATGTGTTTATGTAGAGTGCTGCACCGATGAGGGGTTTGCATATCTATTTGCTTTTAGATCTACCTTTCAGCAGGGCTCAATGAAAACAGGCGGAGGCCAAAATCTATTTTAAAAAGGTTAAAACATAAAAAAAAGTCGTGGACAATTACAAAAATGTTGCTTAGCAGCAGCCAGCCTCTGACCAGTTCTTTCAGTAATGGCATTAAAAAACAACCTGATTAATAGTTCAAGACATAGTGCTAGGCAGAAACCTTTTCTCAGTGTCAATAGCTCCCCTGCACTCTTCGTTCTGCTCTTTCACTGTCCACTGAGAAAGGCCAGATGTCCTTTGGTGCATCTGTTGGCATAATGACCTTTTTCACCACACTGAAAGAGAAAGAGAGAGAGGAATTATTTCACAGTTACAGCTTTTTTTTCCTCTAGCTGCCTTTATTAAGGTAGCTGGCAACTGTTTGGATTTGGAAGCTTTTCTGCATATGGAAGTTGCGGCATTTAGCAAGTGAAGGGAAATGTGGTGTCACAAGGAACATGATTTAAGAGCTGGTTCTACTCCTTGGAGCAAAAGCTGCTTCTGTGCCAGCAGCAACCCGACGCCATGTCATTGTAATGCACTACGAAGGAGAGAGCTTTCTGTGTACCACTACAAACAGCAAAAGGCTGTAACACACAAGGAGAATTTCAATGTTTGAGGCCTCCAGGACTACTCCACCTGATGTGCACTACGGCAGAGATGTACGGAGGCGCTCCTGATCGGCTATCCTGAATTTCACAGAGAAAAGGGCATCTGAACAAGAGATTGATGACTTTGCACCTTGAAGCTTTCAAGCCCAGAGAGAAATGCCAGTATCTGATGCTACACCATTCTCCAGATATGTAATTTACTTGCAACTGAAATAATAAGCAGCCATTAAAGGTTTTCAGTGAAATGGATTCAGCTACTTAATATCCCTGTCCAATCACAGTAATTTTTACCCAAACAAGCAGCTAAGGCACAGAAATTGGCACATACAGCGATGCAACTGTCAAAACTGATGGGACAAGAAAATTCTTTGCCCTTTTCTAGTGGCTAGGGTTGGGGCTTTTGTGGAAAAATAAACGAGATGGAAACTCAATTGTGTCAAAGTTTTACTGGTGCTCCTTGATGAACAACCAAGGTGAACAGCTCATTCCTTGGTTTGATAGCAACGAGGTGCATTTTTAGCTGAAATACTGAACAGCCTTTGCATATTCAATTTCTGTTGCTCACAAGGACCTTCCATGCTAACAGGGGAGAAGAAAATCTTTCTACAATCACCAAGGATAAGCAAATTAACTCATGAGACAAAAACTAATATTAGCTCTTATTTTGAAATGTACAGTTAAGCAGTCTCCTTTAACTGTCATTGAGGTAGGGTTTCCTGTTCATTAGCAGACAAGCAAAGTCTGTCCTACAGCAGCGTTAATTGTCACAGCAAGTCCATGGCAAACCAGCGACTAGAGGCCTCAGAACTCAATGCTAATATCCACGCACCAAAATGCAATGTCTGTGGAGCACAGCGTTCACATTTCGTGAACCTGTTCACACTGTGAAAACACCTTTTGCCGGACCAACACCCCTCATCACAACAGTCCATTCCTTTGCCCCTGACAAGCAAGCAGCAGCAAAGCAGCATGCTGTAGTCCAGGTGACACGCACTTTGTACTTCTTAAATCCAGTACCCTCTGCTTTCTCCCCTCTGAATTACCTTGTAGCAGGTGACCTGCTCCAACGGCCGGGGTCCTCTGTTCCCAGTGTTGTTATTTTGAGACTGCATGACTCCGATGACTTGGGGTGTTCTCTATTGGTTAGGAGAAGAGTTCTGACTCGTTAAGTGTATCAAGGATAAAGACCTTTATGGTTGTTATTTTGTTAAGAAGAGATAAGAGCACTCCATATATCAAATGATCAATTTTCCTCCAAATCTGTGTGGGTGCTCTGCCAGCTGGAGCACCAGAGAGAAGAAATCAAGCACTGAGGCTTACAAAGCCCAGCGATCCTGCTTTTCTCTGGAAAGCAGTTTTGGAGAGTAGGTTTAAGCTGCTAAAATATCATTGCCATCACTGACAGATGTCACGCAGATTACAAAAACTGGCAGATTGCTGCACAACCACGTATGATGTGCTTCTATGTGTAATGTGGGAGTGTTCTGTGACTCGATCTCCATGTAAAGTTGGAGCAATCGTAGGACTTTCGGCACTGTAATGGCACTCAGGGTTGCTCACTGCTTAATTCTTGCATAGCACCCTCCCTTCCAGGCAGCACCCCAAGCCACAGAACCACCACTGCTGGCCTCCGAGCTGAGGACAATACTGGTTAACCAAGGGGAGGGGAGAAACAGAACAAAGCAAAACACTGTGGTCCCAGGACAAAGGCAGCAGCAGTCCGTTGTGATCAAATTGTGGACATTAGAGGGCTGGGAGGAGGAGAGAGAAGGGACAGCGCTTTGCAGTTTATTAGGCTTCGTCTCCAAGTTCTTAATTACAAAATATCAAACCCTGCTGTAAAATAGGAAAGGTTTTCTCTCATTCAGTGAGTATTTCTCCAAGACTTTCCAGCAAGCCAGATCCAAGAGCCCAGGTGTCCAGTTTTGATCGCTAGACAACACACCCTCTTTTAAAGCACTGTGGGAAATGCTTTGAGGGTGGGCATGTAGGGGAGGCAGGGGAATCGTGTACCTTTTGCTGTGTTTGTGTCGGTTGAGGCAGTGGTGGTTGCTCTGTGGTTCCCATTGGCAGTTCAAACCGAGGGCTGGTTTAGATGGAAACAAGAAAATTGATTCTCAAATCATATGGCAACATTTTACCATCAGCTCAGTCAAGTAACTCCAAACAACAAAATAAACACTCAGCCAATTAAATCTGGCTCATAGGAAACAGAGCCCTCCCTTCTCACTTCTCTGCATTCTGATGCTCAGCAATTACGTATTAAAAATGACAATCTGGTATGCAGCATACCCCTCTACCTGGGAAGTCTTCTGGAATATAAACCCATGTGATCCCACTGCACTGATGGCAAGTGATCACCAGTCCAGA